CATTCGGAAGGGAAAAGTTGGTATTTCAAAAGATGTGAGGACAAAAGAAGGAGACGTGGCAGAAGAAGGGATGGGGAGACAGTCCAGTGATGATGTAAACCGAAAAAGACATTTGGAAGAGAAGAAATTAGAAGGGGAAAAGGAGGGAGGATTTAATAAGTGGGCCCCACAACAGGACGAAGAACTCAAGGGGCTCTCACTCAATGGGTTTGGGAGTATTAAAAAGGAGGGGCACAATTGGAAAGAAAAAGATTAGAGGTGAGAGGAATAAGAAACCAAGGAGGATAAGAGGAAGGGAGGAGTGGGTTTGGGTCATAGCGAAATTTGCAAAAGATGGGAAGGTGACAACAATGGTAAGAGAAAGGAATAGGAGGGAGAGAGAAACCAAAGATCCAACCCAATCTGTCGAATTGGGAATATCAGAGAGGAAGACTCCAGACTCCAAAACGGGGGAATCGGCCACAGTGTATCAATCACCTACATGTTGCGAGTGTAAACCAGGCCAGAGCAACTGCTGATTCCGACAACAATTGGGAAGCCAATAGTATAGGATATTAGGATAATCACTGGAGCAGAGGCTAAGGCTTGGCAGATAGGGCAATACCAAGAGTTATACTCATTGGGCAACTCTGTCCAAAATTGATAATGTGGCAAACAGGATCGATGAGGTAGGCTCTCATTCCTCATCAATCCTACCATCCCACATCTCTGTTTCTATGGGGGTAGTGGGCGAAGGTTCTGGAAGGAGGAAGGAAGAGGCAGAGAAAGGTAGGGGAAGTGTGGGGAAGAGGAAGCGACAAGAAGGGATGGTACAACAGAAGGAAGACTTTGGGGCCGGGCCAGGAGACAGAAGGGGGCAGAAGAATTTGAGTCCAGGAAAGGGGAATCCAGAGGAAGGAGTGAGAGAGGAAGAGGTGCGATATCTAAAAAAGAGGAGTTGGATTATGAAGGGGGAGAGGAGTAACACAATGTACATGCTGAAGGGTGTAGCGCGGAGGTGCCGAGAAGATAGAAGGAAGGGAGGAGGATGAAGTTATTAAGTTGGAATGTTAGGCGTCTGAGGGAGGTGAGCAATGTGATTAGGAAGCAGAGGCCTGATGTTGTATTTCTGCAGGAGATGAAATTAGAAAATTTTGGCACAAGAATAATGCATGACATCTGGGGAAGGGGAAGCGGAGATTGGGTGGAGTTGAATGCGTTGGGGCTGGCAGGGGGTTTGGTCATTCTGTGGGATCTGGGTGTTTTTAGGAAATTAGGGGTCTTGCGCGGGAAGTTTTTGGTGTTAGTCTGCTTACAGGAGGTGGAAGGGGGAATGGGCTTGGGGAGTGACGTATGTGTATAGGCCCAACGAGGAAGGGGGAGAGAATGGAGTTTTGGGAGGAGATGGGTAGTGTTCAACAGAGTTGGGAGGGTCCGTGGTGCTTGGGAGGAGATTTTAATGTTGTCAGAAGAAGTGAGGTGAAAACGGGGAGGGAGAGGAGAATTAGTGTGGGAATTAGGAGGTTGGACGATTATATCAATGACCATGAGCTGTCTGACCTTCCCTTGAGAGGCAGAAAGTTCATGTGGTCAAATGGTCAATATCCTGTGACTCTAAGAAGGCTGGATAGATTTCTGCTTTCTGGGAATTGGATGGAGCACATGGGAGATCTGGTGCAGGAACCTTTACAGATGTATTTATCAGACCACAAAGCAATTCTGTTAAGAAAATATACAGAGATATCACGTCTGAGGCCTTTCAGATTTGAAAATGTTTGGTTGCTTCAACCAAACTTTGTGGATTGGGTGGAGGAGAAAAGGAGAAATCTACAAGTGGAGGGTTCATCCACCACCAGGGTTGTCAAGAAATTAGAGTTGATCAAAGAAGAGCTGAAAGGGAGGAGGAGGGAAGAGTTTGGGGATGAAGTAGGCAGAAAAAAGGTGGTATTGGAGAAGATTGCCAGACTGGAGAGATTAGAGGAAGATGAGAACATTTCAAGAGAAGCTAAGGTGGAGAAAGAGGGACTGGAAAGGGAATTAGAGAGGCTACTTTTTGAGGGAGGAGGTGAGATGAATGCAGAAGTCAAGGGCATTATGGTTAAAAGAGGGAGACAAAAACACAGCCTTCTTCCATGAATTTGCAAACGGAAGAAGAAGGAATCTGATTACTAGAATTCAGGTAGGGGAGGAAGAGGCCAGACACTGGGATGCCATCCAAAGACTAGCGGTGGATGTTATAAGAAGCTGTATACAGGGAGACAATGGGGGTGGATTTCTCTGGGAGATGTTGAATCAAGAAAACTAAGTGAGAGAGCATCCGAGTGGCTGGAAAGGGCCATTGAGGGGGGGTGAAGTTAGGGAGGCCTTGAAGAGGATCAATGGAGATAAAGCTCTGGGACCTGTTGGGTTTTCTTTTAATTTCATAAAGCAATGATTGCATTTCTTGGGGGATGATTTCATGCAAATGACCAAGGAATTTTGTGCAAACAAAAATCTGGCCTGAGAGTTAGTTCAACCTTTATTGCACTATTACAGAAGAAGGCTGGGGCTGTTAACGTAAAAGAGATTAGGCCAAATAGTTTAATAAGTAGCCTTTATAAACTCTTGGCCAAAGTCCTATCAAGTAGACTGAAGGGAGTGCTTCATGAGGGAGTAGGTGAAACCTAAATGGCTTTTGTGGGAGGGAGACAAATCCTGGATGGTGTGGTGGTGGCAAGTGAGTGTATTGACTCGAGGACAAGAAGTGGGAGACCCGGTTTGGTGTGCAAACTAGATATTGAAAAAGCTTATGACCATGTGTAGTGGGGATTTTTGGAGGAAGTCCAAAAGCTGATGGTTGTAAGAAGGTGACCCAAACTCTCAAAGTTGGTGGTGGGATGGTTGCAAAAGAAAGGAGCTGGGCTGTGGAATAACGGAAGTGAAAGAAGGAAATTCAACTCTCTCTGTGTGAGCTTGTCTTACATTGCTGGTCCCAAGCCTAGATAAAGGTGGAGGGTTGTGTCTGGTTGACAGATGGTACTAAAATTTTTGCCAAACCCTCATGAATATGGATCTCGATTTGTCTTTTTGTGCTCATGTTAGGGCGTTTTCCATAAATGATGTGCTGCACCCTAACCTGAGTGTATTGTTCTGGGCAAGGTTTGCTAGGATGGTCCACGTAAGTGACCCACCATGTCAATACTCGGTTGTGGTGTCAAATAGGTAGGGGTCCCTGCATAATTCTGGACGGG